GTACTCTTTCCTCCAGATGATGGAAGTACTCAACTTGGTCGCCTTTTCGCTCACTATCGGCGCTCAAATGCTTTACTTTGGTGAGTAACGTGTTGAAATTGAGGATATATTCCCATGCTAATTGAACTAGTACAACGCATTCACAAGTCGCTCCAAGCAATGCGCGACTTCAAGCGCATTCTTGCTCTCGACACCAAGGATACCCAAGAATCCCAGGGCACGAACCGGTGGCGTGTCCAAGGTCCAATTCGCTTCCACGATATTTCGTTCGCATACCCGTCCAGGCCAGAAGTCACGGTTCTCCGCAACATGAGCCTCAAGATCAAACCCAACGAATGCGTTGCCCTCGTCGGTGCCTCCGGATCCGGCAAGTCGACCGTCGCCGCTCTCTTGCAACGATTGTACGAGCCCAACGCTGGATTCATCAGCATCAATGGACACCGCCTGCACAACGCTGACGTCGTCTGGTTGAGAGAACACATTGCTGTCGTTTCCCAACACCCTCACCTCTTTGCCGCCTCGGTCGAGGACAATATCGGCTATGGTGGATCGACCGTCGTCCCCCGCGAGGAGATTGAGCGTGCCGCCAAGGAGGCCAACATCCATGACTTTATCATGACCCTCCCTGAAGGCTACGAAACCTTTGTCGGTGAAAACGCCAGTCTCATCTCGGGTGGTCAAGCGCAACGCATCTCGATCGCCCGTGCTCTCGTCCGCAACGCCGGCTTGCTCATCCTCGACGAGTGCACATCCGCCCTCGACGCAGAGAACCAACGCGAAGTCATGAACACGATCCAAAAGGCCAAGAATGGACGTACGACGTTGATCGTCACCCATAAACTCGCCATGATGCAAATGGCTGACCGCATCCTCGTCATGGAGGATGGTGGTGTCGCCGAAGAGGGCTCTTACTCTGAGCTCATGCAGCGTCGTGGTGTCTTCTACAAGCTTGCCACTGCCGGAGAATGGGAAGGTGCCGATTAATCACCTATCCGTTTTCTCTGACAGTTCATACTTGTCTTATTGTTTTTTACGACATTTGATGACCAATACATTACCCACCATCTTTTTTCCCCTTATCTCTTGTCTCATTTTCCATCTTTTTGGCTCATCCTGTCACTACATTTGCGCGTTTCCTTTCTTTGTTCTACTATGGCTGCCTCTATAAAGCGGACTCTGGAAACGGCTCCCTCTCCTTCTCCCTCCCTCTCGGATTAAACAAACACTCACTGTCCTTAATTACAAACCACCTCCAAACCCACCAATCCTTCCTGTTCATTTGCTTCGTTTCTTCTGTCGATCCTGCACATATATGCCTTATCCCGTGTATCTCTACTCTACCCCTTACCATAGGAGGTTTCTTGCTCATTTTTTGTCACACTACTACGGTCAATAGAAGAATATCAAACGGAATCCCTACTGTGCGCTGAGCTAAGAGTTGAAGCAATTTTGAAGCAATTGCCAACTGGACTTGATGATTCATCTCTCTTCGATAACAGTGATGAGGATTACAGAAACCTTATCCATAGTAAAAAAGCTTCTTCATGACTCTGGTATACATACACGATTTACTAGCTTCGCTTCGTCTAGGTCAAGTCACCAATCCTTATCTTTGATCTCTCTGGTGTCTCGATCCGAATGCACATCCACTGGGCCGCTTGAAACCGATCACCTAGGGTTACTGTATGCTTACCTAGGACAATCAACGGCAATTGCCCATAATATCCAATCACGTATGCTCCCAGCTCTCTCAGTGTATCCCGTAACATACGAAAGATGACAATGAGATCATCAATGGAGATCCTAGACCCTCGCAAAAAAGTAAGAGTTGTGAGTGATTTCGGAAAGCATCTCCTGTCGGGTTGTATATCGTCCAGATCAGTAGGTAACATGGGTGTAAAGGGAATAACCAGAGTCTGCAATGCGGTGAACTGCCGAAAAGAGATGCGTACCCGCTCACGAGTTACTGGAGAAGATGAATCGTATTGTACGATGTGGAGACATAATAGGGAGCTATAGCTCCTCGATAAAGCCTTAATAACCCGGGGAATGTCTAACACTGGGGTAGGATATCCCATGAACGAGTTGGTAAACCCTGGCAAGAGTGTGCGTGTTGTCCGATCTTCCAATTTGAACGTCTCTAGCTCTTTGGTGAGTTGAAGAAACTGAGTCAAACTGTCCATTAAATGTCCATTAGCCACTGTCAATTCTAAATGCCGGAGAGCACAGCTAATTTCGCTGGGCGGGTGCATTGAAGGGTACGCGCTCTCGTTACCCGCCTGAATATGTGCAATGAGCGTCTTTATGTGTGGAAGATCGAGCAGGCACCGAATCAAATCGCTAGGGATGATGTTTCCTTCACGCCGATTGAGCCATAGACCATTGAGTCTCAGCTCTTCAACGTTCCGAAAAGGATACAGGGTACTGTGGGTGATGGCGGACGGTTCCACGACATGAGAAGAGTGAGAAGGAAATAGGGCATCGAGAGAGGGTCCAGCCAAGATTCGTAAATTGACGAATTTGCGAACGACGCGATAGAACTGGTCGAGCCCTGCATCCATTGTGGACCATTCTGCTTGTTCTTCGAGATGAAGAGTTTTTCTTTCCGCTGATGCTTTTGTGAGTAGCATGCTCAACCTCTTGTACTGTCGACTCGCTTCGACCTTTGCGGTTGCGAAGCCGGACGTCATTACTGTTCGACTGGGGACTGCTCGCACTTTGAGACCCGTTACGAGATGAGACAAGGGGTATGACAATGCGGTAGATTCCATAATCCTTTCGAGATACGGAAGTTCTCCCCATTCGAGACACAAAACTTTACTTTTCCAAAAGAGCGGGCAGATGACGTGGTTGGTCGCGCGCGAGATGAACCGGAAAGATGGAAGATCAGGTTTGTGGATTTGAAAGAGGATAATCTCCATCAACTCGGCGGGTAACCCGTTCCAGCCCATTATGGGCGATGTTGTGGTCAGCGGCCAAGAAGTACGGCCACCTGCTTCGACTCCCTGGCGCTAAAAGGGATAACTCGTCTTTTCGACCTGCTTAGTTTAGTCTATCTGGGCGCAACGGTCAGAGATGACGAGTAGTGCAAACGAGAGTGATCGCATGAATAATAGTATGGAAAAGATAGTATTAATCTACTATTACCCTTCTATAATCATACAGAGACAACCTCCAATCTAGATTCTGTCGCATACGCACTATCTAATACCTCTGTATCATCTGTTACATGTTACTAACCACTGGATTTTGAGCTGCCGGGTTCGCAATATGTATCCGTACCCAGTTTGCCCCTTGAAAGCTGTCGCCTAGGGTCATTGTATACCTACCCAAAGAACGGTGTTTAATCATATCCTGCATCTGAGCAATGTCCCCCATGACATATGCTCCTAGCTCTTTTAGGCTACCTCGTAATAGGTGGAGAATAACTGTGAATTCACGAAGAGAGAGCTTGGTTCCTCGCAGGAAAATGAGAAACCTGAGAGAATTGGGGAAACATCTTGTATGAGATTGCACCTCATTGGGCTCGGTAGGTAATGTGGGTGTGATGGGGATCACCAGAGTTTGCA